TCTTAAGTCATTGCAGGCACTCCAGCTTACTCGGAGAGCAATCCAGAAGACAGTCAGAGGAGAAGAGACAGGGAGAAGCCAAACTTCCAGAAACCCAGTCGTCGAACCTGGGGAGCTGGTCTGGGTTAAGAAGCTCAACCCCGGTCAACTTGAGCCTCGGTGGGACGGCCCATTCACTGTTGTCCTCAGCACCCCCACAGCGGTAAAGGTTGCAGGGAAGCAACATTGGATCCACCACACCCGACTGAAAAAGGCAGAGGGTGACCAGAAGGGAGAATGGAGAATCCAACCCACGTCCGACCCTCTAAAGGTCAAATTTTCCCTTTCCTAGTCGTCCTCATCTTGAGCCCTACAGGGGCAAGTTCCTCTACCCCCTCTCGGCCTACCCTCTATCGCTGGGAAGTTACTCGAACTCTAGATGGATCTGTAATAGCAAATACTACAACAGCCGGGTACCCTACCCTTCATTTTGACCTATGTAAAATGTTTGGAGAAGATTGGGGAAGATCGAGGAAGGGGAACTCTCTAAGATTTGGATACCGGGGAGGAGGAGGGGCAGCAGTCCAAGGCTACGGCTGCGGGGATCGTAGCCTAGAAAAAGGACTATGGCACAGTGAACATTACATCTGCCCTCGGGAAGGTCCTAGTGAGTGCGGGGGTAAAGATAGTTATTATTGCGCTGCATGGGGATGTGAGACTCTTGCCCTCTGGACAACTAGAGATAGGGATATCAGATTCACCAGAGAGATACGCCCAGGGGCTCCAGACCAAGCTGGAACTTGCCGTGTAGGTAACTGCAACCCAGTGAAGCTCGAAATCATCACGTGGAGAGCAAGTTATTGGATGGGAGGGAAGACATGGGGCCTCAGACTCTACGTTTCTGGAAAGGACCCTGGGATTCTCTTTACAATACAAAGAAAATCCTTACCACATCAGGGAAGTCCTATAGGCCCCCTGAGACCCATTCTAGGGCCACCAACTCCCACCTATCATCCCCCATTGAACTTTTCCCCTAGAGTAGCAATTAGAGTAGCAAATAAACTGAAGCCTGGCCAACTGGACGCACCTCTCTACTTCCCCACGAATGTATTAAGAACTTTAGAAGCCATGTTCAGGTTCCTAAACAAATCCTCCCCCAACCTCACGGATGACTGTTGGTTATGTCTCAACCCTGAACCCCCTTATTATTCAGGGATTGCTGTTAACATCTCTCTTGGAGATACCCCACAGGACATAAAGAACATCTCCATGGATGCTGCGGAGGATCACTGCCAGTGGGGTCGTAACCCGAAACTCACCCTCGGGGATCTACAAGGACAAGGGACATGCTTGATGCCTGCTAATTACCCTCTGAAGGACTCTTTCTACGCCTCATCCTGCGCCTCCACCATCCTGCTACCGGAGGAGCCATCTCGGGGAGGAGCAGCCCTGCTGGCTGCCCCTGAAGGGACTTGGTGGGCTTGTACCAATGGGATAACTCCTTGTGCCTTTCCCCCGTTTCTCATAGACAAGGAATCGCCAGGCCTTTGCATCTTAGCACACATACTTCCTCAGGTCTATTACTTCTCTGGGGAAGGGGGCCGAGAACACTTAGGTCTCGCCCCAAACCGGGTTAAGAGGGCCCCAGTCCTTGTTCCCCTTTTACTGGGAATTGGAATTGCAGGATCAGCGGCTGTGGGAACATCAGCCCTTGTTAAGGGGAACCAGGACTACAAAGAATTGAGCCAACAGATAGATACTGACCTTAGCACTCTTGAGAGTACAGTCAGCAAGCTAGAAGGGTCACTGAGCTCCCTAGCTGAAGTTGTCCTCCAGAATAGACGAGGTTTAGACCTACTTTTTCTCAAACAGGGAGGGCTTTGCCTAGCCCTGGGTGAAGCTTGTTGTTTTTATACCAACCACTCTGGAGTCATAAAGGAGAGCCTTAGCCAACTAAGAAAAAGATTAAAGGAAAGGGAGGAAGCCAGGGCCAGCCAGGGGAACTGGTATGAAAACCTCTTTACGTGGTCCCCTTGGCTAACAACTCTTATTAGTGCCTTAGCCGGCCCCCTCCTCATTCTATTGCTAGCTCTAACTGTGGGACCTTGTTTGTTCAGATCTCTGGTAAGTTTAATACAATCCAGAGTCCAGGACCTTAAGATCATGGTTCTCCGAACTCACTACCATAACCTTGCTACGGAAGACAGGGAAGAGGATGAATCAAAGATTTGATTCTCCAGTAAGACCAGTAGGGAATGTGACTGTGACAGCAGGCCTAGCCTAAGAGATAAGGCCAGTTCTTTGTCCTGAGGGGCTAACCAGGGTGTGACAAACCATGTGACAGTCAATCTAGCGGGCCCAAGAGATAGGGCCAGTTCCTTGTTCTGAGGGATCAATCAGGAGTGACTTACCAGCAGTGGAATGGGAAGGGAGGTATAAGAGGAGGGACTGCCCCTCCATCAGGGCTCTCACCTGGGTGTTTGCCGGCTGCTGCGTCAGCCAAGGTTTGAGCCCGGATTCGAATCTGTAATAAACTCTAGCATGCTTAATCAAATTGGCTCCGGTGGTCCATCTCTTGGGGACTCGCTTCGTAACACCGGGCTCATTGGGGGAGAGCATAGACTGTTTGGCAGCAGGCGAAAATCGAGGGCACCTTTCTCTCAGAGGCGCCGGCAGCGAGCACTGAAGGACCCGCATAGGGCGGGGCTGACAGAAGCCAAGGCTGTAGGCTCCACCCTGAAATCCCGCCCCATCTGTAACTGCGAAATGCGACAACAAAATAGATCACAAACGAAAGAAATGGAGGACAAAAAGCGTCTGGATATAGAGTTCAAATCTACGCTTACAAGGTTTTTCAAGAATTTCCTAGAAAAGATGGATAAGGCCTATGAGGATATGAAAAGAGATCAACTAGAATTAATAAGGAGTCAACAAGAAATGATAAGGGATCAACAAGAAATAAAGAATACATTGTCTGAAATAAAAAATATTTTACAGAGTCCTAAAAACAGAAGGGAAGATCGCAAGAATCAAGTCAAAGATTTGGAACATAAAGAGCCAGAAGACACTCCTCCACAGAAGCTAGAAGGCAAGAGAATCCAGAAAATTGAAGATAATGTAAGAAACCTCTGGGACAACTTCAAGCGAACCAACATCAGAATTATGGGGGTCCCAGAAGATGAGAGAGAGCAAGATATCGAAAACATACTGAAAGAAATAGTGATAGAAAACTTCCCCCATCTGGTGAAAGAATTAGACTTACAAGTCCAGGAAGCACACAGAACTCCAAACAAAAGGAATCCAAAGAGGACCACACCGAGACACATCATTATTAAAATTCCAAGAGCAAAAGACAAAGAGAGAATATTAAAAGAAGCAAGAGCAAAGAAGGTAGTAATCTATAAAGGAGCACCTATACGATTGTCAGCTGACTTCTCAACAGAAACCATGCAGGCCAGAAGGGAATGGCAAGAAATATTCAAGGTGATGAATAGCGAGAACCTACAGCCAAAAATAATCTACCCAGCAAAGCTATCACTCAGAATCGAAGGCCAGATAAAGAGCTTCACTAATAAAAAAAAGCTAATGGAGTTCATCACTGCCAAAACAGAATTATATGAATTGCTGAAGGGGGTTCTTTCAGAAGAGAAGGTAAACAAAGATAAAAATTATGAACAACAAATACGTAACTATCAACAAGTGAATCTAAAAACCAAGGAAATTAAAAAAAAATCTGATGAACAATATTAACTGTTGAATATAATAGAATCAGAGGTTGTAGATATCAACGAATTGATTCTGAAGTTTAACAGAAAGGCAATGACCTAGAAGAGCGAACACAATACTGAAAAAGAACAAAATTGCGGGACAGACACTACCCAATGTCAAGACTTCCTATAAATGTACAGTAATCAAGAGGACATGGGACTGGCACACAAAATAATGGACACATAGGTCAATGAAACAGAATAGAAAGTCCAGAAATAGATCCAGATAAATATAGATAATTGATCTTTGACAAAGCAGCACCAACAATTTAATGTATAAAGAACAGTCTTTTCAATGGATGGTGCTGAAATAATTGGATGTCCATTTGCAAAATAAAAAATAAATCTAGACACAGACAAAAAAAAAAAAATATTTACTTAGTTACTTTATGACAATAGCATTTTAAATATCTTTTATAATAAAAGCCTAATATACTAAGTGTCCAATAATCTGGTCGTCCATTCAACCAATCAAAGCATAATATGCTAATGATATGCTAAGGTTGTGCAACCACTTGCTATGATGTGCACTGACCACCAGGAGGCAGATGCTATGACTGGTAGGTTAGCTTGCTGCTGGGGTCCGGCTGATCAGGACTGAGCAAGTTGGGCTGGACATGCCCTGAAGCCCTCCCGAAGTCTCTCCCCAGCTGGACAACCTCCCACATTGCTTTCCAGCCCAGTGGGGTCCCTCAGCCTTGCCTGTGCCCTCTTGCAATCTGGGACCCTTGCAATCGGAGAGCCAGTTTTATCCCAATCCCACTCAACATAGGAGCTGCCCCCTGGTGGTGAGTGTGCTCCTACAGGGAGAGCACTGCTCAGCCAGAAGCTGGGCTCACAGCTGGTGAGTACAGCGGTGGTGGGAGCCTCTCCCACCTTTGCAGCAGTGCTAAGGGTGGCATAGCCCACTTCCCACTGAAACAGGCCCAAGCCAGCAGTTGGACATCCCCCCAGGGCTCCCGGATTGCAAGAGGTTGCAGGCCGGGCTGAAGGACCGCCCCCCCACCCCAACCCAGTACACAAATTTTGTGCACCGGTCTCTAGTTTTTAAATAAAAAGTATTAACTGAACACCATAAAAATACTATAGAAAGTGTGGTTTTCCCTCAAAAGCTCGTGGGGGAGCCTCAGGGAGAAACTGGAGACTCTCTTCTCCAACCAACTCCTCTGAGCCAGTAAGTGGGAGCTGGATGGTTGGGGGCTGGGTAGGTGGGGGTGCTCTGGGCCAGGCCTCCCTGGGCTGCATCCTCTGCTCATCTGCGCGGTTCGCTCTCTGCAGTCTGAGCAGCCGCGTGGGGTGGCTCTGCTGCTCCAGGTAGAGTCTGCAAGTCTCAGGTGTCTGGTCTTGGTGGGAAGAGGGAGGCAAGTCCTTGCGTAGGAGAGGTCGCTGCTGAGGCTGGAGCCGTCTCCCGGAGCAGAGCCCTGTGGGGAGGCGTGTGAGGGGGGTAGGGTTGGGGGGCACCCGCATGGCCCACGGCACTGCTCCGTGTACCTGCGGACTAGGCTCCCGGCCCCCCCTTGGGGATGGAGAGCCAAGCCTCTAGGAGGGCCGGGCACACCTGGCTTTCTCCAAGAGGAGCTTTTCCGAGTCCGGGTAATGTGCCAGGGTTTCTCGGAGGGCCTTCCTGTCCAGGGCGAGAAGGTGGGCGAAGCCTTGGGCCATCACGCTGGCAGTCCGGCGGCTTCCTGTAGCTGCCAGGAGGCTGAGAGAGAGAAAGAGAGAAAGAGACACAGAGACACAGAGAGATATTGGGGGCAGTCTTCCTCTATCCCCACCAAAATCTTAAAAATAAATCAAACCCTAACCATCCTCTGCTGCAGAGAGCTCAGCCCACTGAGCCCCGAGCCTCCGAAGGTTGCCCCGCTCAGCCTCCCATCAGGCACGGGGCCCCTCAGCGCCTGTGGGACTCCGCCAGGTCCCAGGAGCGCAGTCTGGACTGTGTCCCCTCTTTGTTTTTCTGGACCCACTGCTGCCCGTTTGCACAGGAGGCTGACTCCTGCGGCGGGCCTCCACTCTGGGGCCCCCCGGGGAGGACCACCAGAATAAGTGGGGGCGCAGGCAGTGGGGCTGCAGCATTCCTCTCGCCTTCGCCAGGACTAGGTGAGAAGGCTGTTCCCACAATTCCGAGCTCCCAAGCCTCCTGGCCTAATAGGCCCGCAGGGTTCTGGTGACTGCCTGCCCCTGTCCCACCCCAGCCTGGAAATGCTCAAATCTCAGTGATGCCTGCTTACAAAGGTGACTCCCATGTCTCCCCATCCTTACCTCCCAGACCACCTCATTTCTCAGTATCCCAACTGCTCTGTAGCTAAGTCACTCGCATACAACGTCCTGAATGTCACTGGATTCTGGGATTTATGTTCCTCAGAGACATAGCTGAGAGTTTTGCATTTGGGGAGTAACCAACAGAGTGAATAAAATGAATAAAACAAACAAACAAACAAACAAACGAACAAACAAAAAAACACACCAATACAACAAAAACACACATCAAGTGAACAAAAATACTATCATTCACCAGTAACCCCCCCAAACAAACAAACGAACAAACAAACAAACAAACAAAAAAACACACCAATACAACAAAAACACACACCAAGTGAACAAAAATACTATCATTCACCAGTAACTTGGAAAATAAGGTTTGATCTTTGAAACCAAGTAAAGAAAAAACATATCTCAAATGTTCAAAAATGAACACCACTTTTGGCTATGATAACACAGACTGAATGTCTCAGAGTCAACTAGTCAGACCCGGAGAAAGAAGGCCACACGAATAAGCACAGTCGTGTGTGTGTGTGTGTGTGTGTGTGTGTGTGTGTGTGTGTGTGTAGCTGCAGGACGCTTAGCCTGAGGGCTGACTGTAGACAATGTGCCCTCCTCCAGCTGCTGCTGCCGAAAGTGAGCTTCCCACTGGCTGCTAATTGTGAACAAACTAGTCAGGCACTGGGGACCTTCAGAATGTTCCTGTGGTCTGCAGATAAGCAAACACCATTCTCTAATACTATAGAAATACATGAAGTAATGATGGCAAAGAAGTTTCCAAAATTAATGACAGACACCAGACAACAGATCCAGAAAACTCAGGCATTTCTGAGCATAAAATACTACTACCCAAGAAACTCTATCCCTAGACATATCATAATTAAATGGTAATAAATCAAAAATAAAGAAAACCTTGAAAAGAGCTGGAGGAACAAAGATAATAACTACAACAGCAGACTTTTTATCCCAAACTGTGCAAGTGAGAAGAGAGTGGGATGATCACCCACAATTCTTTGTGCATGAAATTGTCCTTTGAAAGTGAAGGAGACACAAAGATTGTCAGGAAAAACAAAAATTAGGAATGACATTAGCAGAACCACTCTGCAAGAAATGTTGAAGGAATTCTTCACGAGGGAGGACAATGATACTGTTAGAAACGTGGGTCTTCGTAGAGAATGGAAGACACGGAGAAGGAGCAAATGGAGGTAAAACGACACTAAAATATTTCATTTCTCTTAATCTTAACTGATCTAAAAGGTAACTCCAGCACGTGGGTAAGGGCAAGGACTGCCCGTGTCCTGAGGCTGGAGGGAAGAATGGGGAACCGTTACGAGGCTGCACACACGTGTAAGCAGTCCAGTGTTATGTGAAGGGAGCTTGACTCCATTTAAAAGGTGGACTGCAAACTCTAGGGCCACCACCAAAGCTTTTGAAAGGAGTACAATTGCTGTGCTAAGGGAGGAGAGAAGATGGGATCATATGGAATGCGCCATTAAAGGCAGAAAAGGGGAGAACCTAGTGCTAGGCCCCCGTGAGGCCCAGACAGGGCTTCTACCTGCACTGCACACTGAATGTGGCGCAGGCCCCGCCAGGCCGCTGAGAGTGAAGTTACTCCTCCAACACAGAAAGTGTGCACTTGGAACTACACACGTGGGCCATGTCAACACTTACCTCTTTGTTCCACATTTTAAACGTATTGCTCCATGGCAAAAACATGGACATTTCCGTCCTTTCCTGAGGTTCTCCCAAGACACTCTCTGCCTTCACCTTTTCTTTAAGCAAAATACATTTTTATCTATCTATCTATCTATCTATCTATCTATCTATATCTATATCTATCTATCTATCTATCTATCTATCTATCTATCTATAATCTATCTATCTATCTATCTATCACCTATCATCTATATAACATTCATTAATCAATATATTAGCTATTTATCTATTTTCCTATTTACTTACCTATTTATTATCCATTACTCAATCTCTATATATCATTCACCAATCTATTAGTTATTTACCTATCTATTTACTTACCTACATATCATCCGTTAATCAATCTTTCTATTATCTATCATTATCTATTATTCACCTACCTATCTATCATCTATCACCATAATCATCTCTTCAGTCATGTATCTACCTATATATCTATCTCCCTGCCTTTCTCTCCATGGAATGGATGTTAATATTTGAAGACTCGATGCTTGGATGAGCCTATTCCATTCCCACCTGTCTCCTTGGACACAGGGTGCAGAGGTCAGCCAGAGCTAGGTGGCCACGGGAGCTTAATTTGGGCCCGAGAGTGTCTCTGTGCTGTCAGACTATGACAACAGAATGGAAATTACATGTTTAAATGACAGGTTATTTTTAGATTTCTCCAGCTTTAATTAACCTTGATTACAGGTTACACATTTGCAGTGCTTGATGAGTATTTGAACAAAGTAATTGCCAAATGCATGTTGCCCAAACTCTCTCTGCACTGTTTAAAATAGCACTCCCCTCCGCAAGCACTTCTCTAGCATTCCACGATAGAAAGCTTCACTCATTAAGCACCAGAGTGAGAGGATCCCACACAGTTTCGGAAGGAGCATTGCTGGGGACACCCAGGAATAGTGATTAGTGTCCAGGAAACAAGGACTGGCTCCAATTCTAGAGCCTCCTCTGTGTGCCGGGACCTCAGACACAAACCTAAGGACCTTTTTGGTTCTCACGGCCATCATGCAGCCACTGAGGGCTGGGTGTTGTCAGCACAGTGAGGCTGGGGAGAGGAGAGTTCCGAGAGCACAGTGCAGTTTCTGGAAAGGACACAGGCTTGGGGAGGAGATGCCACTAGTCATTTATTCAGTGCGCCTCGGAGCAGCTCCTTGTCTCCCTGTTAGGAGGCAGGCCACTGGGAGCATCTGCTGTAAGTGTCTGATCATCTTTAGGCAGACAGTGCTTATGGACTCCTGATATTCAATTGTGAAAATGGTGCTACCAGGTAAATTTCTGGCTGAGAACTTTTGAACCTGAATTTGTGTTATGTAACTAACTCGCAACAAATGTGCTAACTTTGTGCAGGAGGAAGGTAACTGCTCCCAGAAGCCGGAGCGTGTACTCTGCCGTAAGCAGGCTGGGGACCAGGAAGCTGCGGAGAGAACGGAGCTGGTGGGCTAAGTCAGGTCTGGGGTCAAGAGCCCAGGACCCAAGAGTGCTCATGGCTCATGTCCAAGGGCAGAGAAGGGGGACGTCTCAGCTCGGGCAGTGAGCGTGCACTCCACTCTCCTCACTCCGCCTTTCCTGGTCTTTCAGCCTCAGCAGACGCAGGTCCCAACCTCTCTGAGGGCCATCTGCACTCACTGATCCGAATGCCCATCTGTCCCCAAACCCTCACAGCCACCCCCAGATGTCACGTTTCCTCAGCCAGGGAGGCCCCTGCGCTGAGCTGACCTGAGCTGAACATCCCAGCATGGTGTTCACAGGTGCGATGGCGGGGTGAGGTACATTCAGTGTGAGAGGACCTGCGTGTCCAAAAGCCAGGTATGTATCGGGAGTAGGGCAACATGAAAGCTGTGTGTGTGTGTGTAAATGGAACTATTGCAAGGCAAACACATGTTCGCCGGGGCCACCTCCTGTTTGTTGGAGGAAAACCCCATGCCTGGATTCCTGTCGCCTTAGAGCTTCGACTGCACAGGCACAAAGCACACAGCCCTTTCCCCACAGCAGGTCCTGGTTTCAGACGTGAACTGGCCTGAGAGCAAGGGGATGAACAAAGAAGAAGCCAGGTGAAAAGTATGAGAAAGAATGAAGGAATTCTTCACGAGGGAGGACAATGATACTGTTGTCAGGTGAAAAGTATGAGAAAGGACAGAAGAGTAACATGTCATTGAATCGTTTCCATCCCTGTTCATTTCCACCCTCCAGGTGCCCCGGGGAGGACTCTGCTGGGATACTCTGGCTGGAAAACACTCTGTCCAACCAACAAATAAGCAGCGTAACTGTTTGTCTGGAGTCAGACAGCTAGCAATGTCCTACATCAGTGACCAGGACCCCTGGACAGGCAGGTTCTCTCTTACCTGTCCTCCCCGCCATGGACACTGAGGTCCAGCATAAGGAAAGGGGCTCATTCAAGAGCAATGCCTATGAGTCTTGTTGAAATTAAAATCCAAGACCAGACCTGACTTTAAGTCAAAGCATCTTTCCTGCCGAAACCGGTTTGGCTCAGTGGATAGAGCTTCGGCTTGGGGACTGAAAGGTCCCAGGTTCGATTCCGGTCGAGGGCATGTACCTTGGTTGTGGGCATATCCCCAGTAGGGGGTGTGCAAGAGGCAGCTGGCCGATGCTTCTCTCTCATCGTCGTTCCTAGCTCTCTATCTCTCTCCCTTCCGCTCTGTAAAATATCAATAAAATAAAAAAAATAAATAAATAAAAGCATCTTTCCTTTATTTCCTGGATGTTGGGAAAGTGAGGAGGAGAGGAGGCCAGCCTGGCTGGGGGGAGGGGCGATGAGTGGTGAGCGGTGAGCAAATAAACAGGCCCAGAGAAAATGGTTTCATTAGCAGACACTGAAGGAGGACTGTCGTTTTCTGGGACTGCTTAGAGCCATGCAGAGGAACAGCCTGTTGCTGCAAACCCAGTGAAATAAGGAAGTCTCTCCAGGCGCCACGGAGCACCACTCTGTGCGCAGCCTGCATTACACATCGGTCCCTTTTTCCGGAAAATAACCTGTGAGGGCAGCACTGGATTCCCGTGTTTACAGTCTGTCTCCAAGTCTGGGGCAGTGCTTGTAATCTAGCAGGCACTAAGCATGCAGTGGATATATGCTGGATGAATAAGTGAGAACGTTTAAATACAATAACATGTGTGGAAGTGTCTAACCCACAAAATGCCTAGATCTTCTTATTCTTGGGGATAAACTTGTCCTGGTCAATAGTAAATAATAATTACAATAGTTAATATTTATTGAGCTCTTAATAGATGTCGGATAGCATAATAATAATTAACCCATCTGTCAGCTCTCTGAGGTAAGTTCAACTATTGTAGTTTTTAAGATGCAGAAACAGGACGAGAGAAGGAAGGAGCACGGACAGAACCAGAAGTGCTGGGCAAAGCTGTGGACTCTGGCCCCACAGCTGTGCTCTCATCACTCGCTGCCTCCACACCAGGGTGCTCTCCCTCCCTCCGCTGTTCATCCATCCATCCCTCCTTCCAGCACCTGCTCAGCCTCCCCACTGCGAACAGACTGGGGCCTCAGCACGACAGGGCCACCGGACAGGGCCATCGGACATGGTCACCGGACAGGGCCACCGGACAGGGCCATCAGACAGGGCCTCCGGACAGGGCCACCGGACAGGGCCATCGGACAGGGCCACCGGACAGGGCCACCGGACAGGGCCATCGGACAGGGCGTCCGGACATGGTCACTGGACATGGTCACCGGACAGGGCCACCGGACAGGGCCATCGGACAGGGCCACCGGACAGGGCCACCGGACAGGGCCTCCGGACAGGGCCACCGGACAGGGCCACCGGACAGGGCCTCCGGACAGGGCCATCGGACAGGGCCTCCGGACAGGGCCTCCGGACAGGGCCTCCGGACAGGGCCATCGGACAGGGCCTCCGGACATGGCCACCGGACAGGGCCTCCGGACAGGGCCTCCGGACAGAACCACCGGACAGGGCCATTGGACATGGCCATCAGACAGGGCCTCCGGACAGGGCCATCGGACAGGGCCTCCGGACAGGGCCATCGGACAGGGCCATCGGACCTGGTCACCGGACAGGGCCTCCGGACAGGGCCTCCGGACAGGGCCTCCGGACAGGGCCACAGGACAGGGCCTCCGGACATGGCCACAGGACAGGGCCTCCGGACAGGGTCTCCGGACAGGGCCACCGGAGAGGTCTCTGGGGAAGGCCAGGGCACCTGGGAGTGCGCCGAGTCCTCGCCTTCCCAACGCTCACAGTCAGACCTTTAATACCATGAAGAGGGACCGTCCATGTGTTAGGAGCTAAGATCTCTCTTCTGTGACAAACGCAGGCTTTGAGGCGTGGGGGCCTTCCCGTACCTAAGCTCTCCGAACACCGTCCCCGCTGTCAGAGTGGCCAGGACTTGAGCAGCATCGGCGCCTCCGAGAACCCACAGCTGCCCCTGCTTCACGATGTACATTTCCCTGCCGACCTCTCCCTGCGGCCAAGAGAGAGGGACTTTACTACAGCTGTCACTCCACAGGAGCACATTCACCTCCCAGATGTCATGCATGGAAGGAAGCTATTAGGGCCTATGAGCAGGGGTGTGTGTGGGCCTGTGAGCAGGGGTGTGTGTGGGCCTGTGAGCAGGGGTGTGTGTGGGCCTGTGAGCAGGGGTGTGTGTGGGCCTGTGAGCAGGGGTGTCTGTGGGCACATGGTGACAGCTCAGCCAGCACTGCCCGGGCGGACGTGGGAGGGAGAACTGGTGTCCTGGTGTCCGTGCTGCCGGGAGCTGCTTTGCTTTGGAGAAGGCGCCCGTCTGCCCAGAGCACTGGGCTACAGCCATGGCTCCTCAGCACCAGGCTGGCTTTAGCAGCTGGGCACAGGCTGTGTGCGCTGTCCTCCCTCTCCGTGTGGAGGGAGATGGGATGTGGCGGTTCCTGCTTATCCTGGGGCCCTGGGGGCAGGGCAAGGACCCGGGCAGCCTGTGTTCTCCCCTGGCCCCAGGATGCCGTTATTGTGGGTGCCCGAGGCCCCGGGCAGGACACACAGCTGTCAGCACCGCTCAGCGGAAGGAAGGCTGTGAGGGTCCCTGGTGTCTACTCTCGAGTCTAATCCATGGTTGGTCCTGCAGCTGTGTGACCAGCCTCAGGTAAGAACCATAAAAGGGCAATAAATACACAGTCTCAACAACTGAATCTAAAAATCAAAGAACCAGCAGAACAAAAGCCATGTATGGGGCCTCGTGGATGCTAGACATAGAGGGTGACGGCTCTGTGAGTGACACAGTCTGACCACTGTGCTGTCCACCCGAAACCAACACAACGTGTGTGTCCACTGGAACTGAACATACAACTGAGTGAAAACCCTGCCACAGATCCCACAGGCAGCCAGGCTTCCCGCTGGGCAGACGTCAGCTCTGTGCCCACCGCCCCGCTGGAGAGGCCGCGGCTCCCCCGGGGAGGAGGCCCGGAGGCCCGCTCCTGCCCCAGCCTCTGCCCGCCCGCTGGAGAGGCCGCGGCTCCCCCGAGGAGGAGGCCCGGAGGCCCGCTCCTGCCCCAGCCTCTGCCCGCCCGCTGGAGAGGCCGCGGCTCCCCCGGGAGGAGGCCCGGAGGCCCGCTCCTGCCCCAGCCTCTGCCCGCCCGCTGGAGAGGCCGCGGCTCCCCCGGGGAGGAGGCCCGGAGGCCCGCTCCTGCCCCAGCCTCTGCCCGCCCGCTGGAGAGGCCGCGGCTCCCCCGGGAGGAGGCCCGGAGGCCCGCTCCTGCCTCCAGCTGCTGCCTGATGTCCTTCCCCGCCGGCCCTGCATGGCTGCTGCCGCAGCGCCTCAGCCACAGTGACAGCTTCGTGGGGACTCATAGGAGCCACCACGCCAGTGGGTGGTGGGACCCTCGGGACTCCTCCTCCCTCCGAGAGGCAGATGACTGTGCCTCACTGGAGACCTAGGTAGCATCTGGGCCACGAACAGCTGTTCAACTCTGAACGAGCCAGTTGCACAATCCTAGCAACTCTCTGATGACAGTGCCTCGATATTGTCAAAAGGTCCAAAGCACAACCTGAACTCAGGATGGAACAGCGGGGACTCGAGTTTATGCTCTGCAATGGCGGCGATGATGTGCCCTTTGTTCCCCGGAAGAGAGGGCCTGCGAGACAGCCGCTCACTCAGGAAGGAGGAGAGACAGCCGCTCACTCAGGAAGGAGGAGAGACAGCCGCTCACTCAGCAGGAGGAGAGACAGCCGCTCACTCAGCAGGAGGAGAGACAGCCGCTCACTCAGGAAGGAGGAGAGACAGCCGCTCACTCAGGAAGGAGAGACAGCCGCTCACTCAGGAAGGAGGAGAGACAGCCGCTCACTCAGGAAGGAGGAGAGACAGCCGCTCACTCAGGAAGGAGAGACAGCCGCTCACTCAGGAAGGAGGAGAGACAGCCGCTCACTCAGGAAGGAGAGACACTCAGGAGGAGAGACAGCCGCTCACTCAGGAAGGAGGAGAGACAGCCGCTCACTCAGGAAGGAGGAGAGACAGCCGCTCACTCAGCAGGAGGAGAGACAGCCGCTCACTCAGGAAGGAGGAGAGACAGCCGCTCACTCAGCAGGAGGAGAGACAGCCGCTCACTCAGCAGGAGGAGAGACAGCCGCTCACTCAGGAAGGAGAGACAGCCGCTCACTCAGGAAGGAGGAGAGACAGCCGCTCACTCAGCAGGAGGAGAGACAGCCGCTCACTCAGGAAGGAGGAGAGACAGCCGCTCACTCAGGAAGGAGGAGAGACAGCCGCTCACTCAGCAGGAGGAGAGACAGCCGCTCACTCAGGAAGGAGAGACAGCCGCTCACTCAGGAAGGAGAGACAGCCGCTCACTCAGGAAGGAGGAGAGACAGCCGCTCACTCAGCAGGAGGATAGACAAGCCGCTCACTCAGGAAGGAGAGACAGCCGCTCACTCAGCAGGAGGAGAGACAGCCGCTCACTCAGGAAGGAGGAGAGACAGCCGCTCACTCAGGAAGGAGGAGAGACAGCCGCTCACTCAGGAAGGAGAGACAGCCGCTCACTCAGGAAGGAGAGACAGCCGCTCACTCAGCAGGAGGAGAGACAGCTGCTCACTCAGGAAGGAGGAGAGACAGCCGCTCACTCAGGAAGGAGGAGAGACAGCCGCTCACTCAGGAAGGAGGAGAGACAGACAGCCGCTCACTCAGCAGGAGGAGAGACAGCCGCTCACTCAGGAAGGAGAGACAGCCGCTCACTCAGGAAGGAGGAGAGACAGCCGCTCACTCAGGAAGGAGAGACAGCCGCTCACTCAGGAAGGAGGAGAGACAGCCGCTCACTCAGGAAGGAGAGACAGCCGCTCACTCAGGAAGGAGGAGAGACAGCCGCTCACTCAGGAAGGAGAGACAGCCGCTCACTCAGCAGGAGGAGAGACAGCCGCTCACTCAGGAAGGAGGAGAGACAGCCGCTCACTCAGCAGGAGGAGAGACAGCCGCTCACTCAGCAGGAGGAGAGACAGCCGCTCACTCAGGAAGGAGAGACAGCCGCTCACTCAGCAGGAGGAGAGACAGCCGCTCACTCAGGAAGGAGAGACAGCCGCTCACTCAGCAGGAGGAGAGACAGCCGCTCACTCAGCAGGAGGAGAGACAGCCGCTCACTCAGGAAGGAGAGACAGCCGCTCACTCAGGAAGGAGGAGAGACAGCCGCTCACTCAGGAAGGAGGAGAGACAGCCGCTCACTCAGCAGGAGGAGAGACAGCCGCTCACTCAGGAAGGAGAGACAGCCGCTCACTCAGGAAGGAGGAGAGACAGCCGCTCACTCAGGAAGGAGAGACAGCCGCTCACTCAGGAAGGAGGAGAGACAGCCGCTCACTCAGGAAGGAGGAGAGACAGCCGCTCACTCAGCAGGAGGAGAGACAGCCGCTCACTCAGGAAGGAGAGACAGCCGCTCACTCAGGAAGGAGAGACAGCCGCTCACTCAGGAAGGAGGAGAGACAGCCGCTCACTCAGCAGGAGGAGAGACAGCCGCTCACTCAGCAGGAGGAGAGACAGCCGCTCACTCAGCAGGAGGAGAGACAGCCGCTCACTCAGGAGAGGAGAGACAGCCGCTCACTCAGGAGAGGAGAGACAGCCGCTCACTCAGGAAGGAGGAGAACAGCCGCTCACTCAGGAAGGAGAGACAGCCGCTCACTCAGAAGGAGGAGAGACAAGCCGCTCACTCAGCAGGAGGAGAGACAGCCGCTCACTCAGAGGAGGAGAGACAGCCGCTCACTCAGGAAGGAGGAGAGACAGCCGCTCACTCAGGCAGGAGGAGAGACAGCCGCTCACTCAGCAGGAAGGAGAGACAGCCGCTCACTCAGCAGGAGGAGAGACAGCCGCTCACTCAGCAGGAGGAGAGACAGCCGCTCACTCAGGAAGGAGAGACAGCCGCTCACTCAGGAAGGAGAGACAGCCGCTCACTCAGGAAGGAGGAGAGACAGCCGCTCACTCAGCAGGAGGAGAGACAGCCGCTCACTCAGGAAGGAGAGACAGCCGCTCACTCAGCAGGAGGAGAGACAGCCGCTCACTCAGGAAGGAGGAGAGACAGCCGCTCACTCAGGAAGGAGGAGAGACAGCCGCTCACTCAGGAAGGAGAGACAGCCGCTCACTCAGGAAGGAGAGACAGCCGCTCACTCAGGAAGGAGGAGAGAGAGCCGCTCAATCAGGAAGGAGGAGAGACAGCCGCTCACTCAGGAAGGAGAGACAGCCGCTCACTCAGGAAGGAGAGACAGCCGCTCACTCAGCAGGAGGAGAGACAGCTGCTCACTCAGGAAGGAGGAGAGACAGCCGCTCACTCAGGAAGGAGAGACAGCCGCTCACTCAGGAAGGAGGAGAGACAGCCGCTCACTCAGGAAGGAGAGACAGCCGCTCACTCAGGAAGGAGGAGAGACAGCCGCTCACTCAGCAGGAGGAGAGACAGCCGCTCACTCAGGAAGGAGAGACAGCCACTCACTCAGGAAGGAGGAGAGACAGCCGCTCACTCAGGAAGGAGGAGAGACAGCCGCTCACTCAGCAGGAGGAGAGACAGCCGCTCACTCAGGAAGGAGAGACAGCCGCTCACTCAGCAGGAGGAGAGACAGCCGCTCACTCAGGAAGGAGAGACAGCCGCTCACTCAGGAAGGAGAGACAGCCGCTCACTCAGCAGGAGGAGAAACAGCTGCTCACTCAGGAAGGAGGAGAGACAGCCGCTCACTCAGGAAGGAGGAGAGACAGCCGCTCACTCAGGAAGGAGGAGAGACAGCCGCTCACTCAGCAGGAGGAGAGACAGCCGCTCACTCAGGAAGGAGAGACAGCCGCTCACTCAGGAAGGAGAGACAGCCGCTCACTCAGCAGGAGGAGAGACAGCCGCTCACTCAGCAGGAGGGAGGAGAGACAGCCGCTCACTCAGGAGGGAGGAGAGACAGCCGCTCACTCAGGAAGGAGAGACAGCCGCTCACTCAGGAAGGAGAGACAGCCGCTCACTCAGGAAGGAGGAGAGACAGCCGCTC